AGGTCTTTTTTTTTTTTTTTTTTTTTTGAGACAGAGTCTCGCTTTGTTGCCCAGGCTAGAGTGAGTGCCGTGGCATCAGCCTAGCTCACAGCAACCTCAAACCTCCTGGGCCTCGAGTAATCCTTCTTGCCTCAGCCTCCCGGGTAGCTGGGACTACAGGCATTCGCCACCATGCGCCCGGCTAATTTTTTTTATATATATATCAGTTGGCAATTAATTTCTTTCTATTTATAGTAGAGATGGGGTCTCGCTCTTGCGAGAGGCTGGTTTCGAACTCCTGACCTTGAGCAATCCGCCCGCCTCGGCCTCCCAAGAGCTAGGATTACAGGCGTGAGCCACAGCGCCCGGCCATAAAGGCAGTCTTCTGCCTCAGAAAATCTGTGAATGAGAGAATACATGAGGTGCCCCCTGGACAGAGCTTAAAGAAACAGCTGCACACACAGACTCTTTTAAAAAGTGTTAATATTGCATTTACTTGGAAAGATGTAAATAAAGTTAACATTACAAAAAATCCACTACCTATAAAGAAATATTAATAAATATGCTGTTAGTCTACTAATCCATGAATCTAGAGAAGCATTCATTTATGAATACATTTTGTTTCCTGATTTAAAATTCTCTTTTCATTTTGCCTGATTTTTTTCTGAAGCTAAACTAGAAATTGTAGTTTTCTCCTAAAAAATGCAATGCCATTCTTTCTTTATAAATTACATTCTGTTTTAAATTCTGGAACTCTGGTTCCTTAGTCCTGGAATTTTCTTGAATTAATTCCTTACCCCACCATTTCTCTTTTCTCTGTATTTTTGGATTTATTCAAATTTGAACCTCATTAATTTCTATGTAATTTTTTTCCTCTGGTTGCTATACTTTCCGGGATATTACCAAGAGCTCTTTTTTCTTCTCTGGACTTTTGTCCCTTATAGCATCCTTTCTTGTTTAATCTTTGTACTCTTTTTTTCTGAGATGATTATAGTGTGTTTTCATATTAATCCCTTTCCTTAGCTGTTTAAGAGTGGAGCAGTGGCTGGGCACAGTGGTTCATGCTTGTAATTAATTCAGCACTTTGGGAGGCTGAGGTGGAGGATATCTTGAGATCAGAAGTTCAAGGCCAGCCTGGGTAAAGTAGTGAGACTTCATCTCTACAAAACTTTTAAAAATAGCTGGTGTGGTGGTATGCACCTGTAAGTCCTAGCTACTCAGGCTGAGGCAGGAGGATCACTTGAGCCCCCAGGAGTTTGAGATTGTACTTTACATAAGACTAATGCAGTAGCTTTTTATTTTCTATGCTCACAGGATTACTCTGAGTATATGATGGTTTGCAAAGTTATATTTTCATTATTAACTGAAGAGAGCAATTTTGTCTTTTTCTTTCTGAACCAACAGGTCTGGGCTGTTCAACCATACTTTCTCCGGAGGGATCGGCTCAGTTTGCAGCTCAGATGTTTGGATTAAACAATCATTTGGTATGGTGCAAGCTGCGAGCAAGCATATTGAACACGTGGATTTCCTTGAAGTTGGCTGACAAGAAAATCAGAATGTAATTTATAAGAAAGAATGGCATTGCATTTTTTAGGAGAAAAACTACAGTTTCTAGTTTAGCTTCAAAAAAAATCAGGCAAAATGAAAAGAGAATTTAAATCAGGAAACAAAATGTATTCATAAATGAATGCTTCTCTAGATTCATGGATTAGTAGACTAACAGCATATTTATTAATATTTCTTTATAGGTAGTGGATTTTTTGTAATGTTAACTTTATTTACATCTTTCCAAGTAAATGCAATATTAACACTTTTTAAAAGAGTGTGTGCAGCTGTTTCTTTAAGCTCTGTCCAGGGGCACCTCATGTATTCTCTCATTCACAGATTTTCTGAGGCAGAGACTTTACTCTCTCTGCAACCCACTCAAAGTTTTTCTTCACCATCTGGAGCCCTTCAGGAGTTACTTCTTTGAGGTCCCGATAAGACTAGAAAATAAGACAGCAAGTTTAGAAAACAAGTTATCTCTTGTTATCTGAAACTAATTGGTTTTGAATATGAACAGTTTGCATAGTAAGGGATAAATATGAAAATGTATCTTAGTCTATAAATCTATTTCCTGAATTAAACTAGAAAAAGTTCAGTAATGAAGTATACTTTTATTTTCATTTAAGGTTAAGTGCTTTCTACACTAACAACAATAATTAACTGCCCTGAGAATTCTTATAAGTATAGAAAAGATCTTGCCCTAATTTTGTTTTTCTCTTTAGGAAAGAGAAGTGGAGCCTGATTAAATCTAAAAGACTTGGGATAGAGTCCCAGATCTACCCCTTACTATAGTAACTATGAAGATACTTATCCTCAGTTTCCAATTAGCCAAACAAGTATAATACTAATACTTGCTCTGTTATTGTTGTGAGTCTATTAATAACTGAGAAATTTGCTTTATAAATGTTAAGTACTATTCTTATATTAGGATTTAGGAAATGTTTATCTTTAAAATTAAAATGCAATGAGCAAATCAGTTCCTGCGGGTCATATGGGGAATAAGAAGTAACTGCCTTTCTTTTACTCTCATCTCTTTCCCCTCTAGCTAAGTCTGATCTTGTTAAGGATAAAAAACTCGAAGCATTATTTACCTGCTTGTCTTTCTGTTGGCTTCGATCTCCTGATGGCCACAGTCTCCAGGAATCATTATCAATAACATCAGCAAGAACAATCTCTTTGGTGGTTACATCAACACCAAATTCAATCTAGAAACAGTATATCACCAAAGAAAAAATTTTAAGAACTACATACAATATTTCTCAGTTATAATGTTTACTTTCAAATCTCTTTATCTGTACCTTCATATCAACCAGTGTACAGTTTTGGGTCAACCACGATTTCTCCAGCATTTCAAAAATAGCCTGTGTAGCGTGGCTCATGATATCAACTTCAGTTTGGCCTATAACAAGTCCAGCAAAGCAAAATTTCGCAGCTATTAGCTGTTCCTCAGACCACTGTGGGTCATTATTGGCATCATCCTGTGAATAAAGTACAGCAGAACAATTAACTTAAATCTAAAGTTTTCAAACTTTTAAGAAAAACTAAAGTCTTTTTCTCGTTGAGCATAAATTCCTCAAACAAATTTTTTGCTTATAGTACCCTTTAGTTCAAAGCAGTTATTCTTAATGTGTCTACTTTTAATAGCTACTTTAAAATTCAAACTAGGTAATTTATTCTAGGTCATAAAGTACTTTAAAGAAGTTGCCTTTTCCCTATAAACCAATTTAAACACCACTTATGATTTTTACTTTTCCTTAGTAACAGTCATTGGACATGATACGAAGGCCAGAACACATTTTAATCCACTGGGGTAGTCGAAGAGAAGACACACCATCCTGAGCTCCCCAGTCTGTGGAGGGGAGGCAGTTGAATGAACCTGGATAATGCAGTTTCCCAGACACCGCACTGTCCCAAACCCATTGCCCTTTGCCTGCCACCTGCCACACAAAACACAGTAGGATGCCATCCCTAAAGGAAATTACAAGTTTACCACTTATGTTAACATATTCAAAAGATAGATTTAAAGATAGGTTTTTTTTTTTAAAAAAGCCTAATATGATCTTAATTCCTTGAGGAGTCTTCTCCGAAAAAGCATATGTAGCTCTATTCTTACCATACTTCCAATATAATGTTCATCTGTCCACTTACTATAAGCCCAAGCAATCAAGTAAGCCAGAACAGGTTAGTGGGGGGGGGGGAGGGGGTGGACTATGCTTTGACATCACCTAGTGTAAAGGGATTTCAGGGTGTTAGTCGACGGGACTGGTCTCTATTATTGTCTTCTTCCCTAATATTGTGACCTAAAGGAAGAATGAGCACCCACTGAACAGGCCCAAACTTCCTGCTGAGGTGGTCCATCTACAAACGGTGCAGAAGACCTAGAATAAGCTTTGGTGTTAATAGACCTAGACTCTAAGTAAATCGAGGTTAGATGCTTTTAAGAGCACTCTTTGAAATAAGAGTTGAAGGCCAAGTTTAATGATACAGCCATGCCAAATTTTTAAAACCTCCCTTGATCCCTGGCTACGTTTTTACCATTTTTGTAGAGACGAGGTCTTGCTATGTTGCCCAGGCCCAGTCCTGCAAACCTCCTGCATCAATGCCATCCTTCACTGCTGGGGTTTCCCAAGGGATATAGGCATGAGCCACTGTGGTTGCCAAGACTCCTTAATAATATTTTTTTAACAGTACCTCTTAACCATTTTCCCTTTGGTAAATTTAGATAAATATCCTTTGTTCCCTAAAAGGCCAGATATTATAACCTAAGAATCCAAAGTTTTACATATTGGCATTATTCCTGGAGAAGAGTTCTAGCTTTCATTATGCTTAGCCAAAGGGTCTAAGACCCACCCACCAACCCCCCCCCCAAAATTAATACAATTGCTTCTAATAATAATTATCTCCAGAGGAAAACTCCAATTAACATTTGTTTCCCAGTTGAGAAATATTTGGTTGTGAACCGCAAGACCCCAATATCTTTAGATCAATGCCTATCCCAATTATTTCTTTTATGTATCTATATTCTCGAAACTCTTTAAATTTCACAATCTTGTCTGGCCCTCCTACAAATATAGGGCCCATTAATCAGACACCCGACGGAGGATTGCTGTTTCAACCTCCTATAACTGGTGGTGAGGCCTACTTTCTACTGAACACTGGTAAGACAACAATGCTGCCAGGGGCTTATTAGGTAAAGATGGCCAGAGTTCCTCCATAATTCTAAGTCTTTTGCAAAGATCAGAACCCTACCTCCAAGTGCTCCAGTTATTTGGAAGTCTTACTTCATATTTCAGCTTTAATCCTCAGAGTTTTCATGCTGGTCCCTTTAATGGGCAGCATGTTACCCACGAAATTCACATGGAATACCAAAATCTCCACAGGCCTTCTTGATTTTTTTCACAGTGACCGAAATCAGAAATTGACCCCCAATCAAGACGACATCTGCACCCTGACTTTCTTGATTTCAAAAGCAACTGGAAAAGAAAATGTGGATATGAAAAAGAATGTAAAGATAAAAATGATAAGCCCACAAGAATGAGTATGCATATAAAGATATCAACTTTAACAGAGCTAAAAAAAAAAAAAAAAAAAAAAAAAAAAAAAAAAAAGTTGTGGTAAAAATAACATTGGGGGCCAGAGTTATTTTCTTAAAAAGACCAAAATGAAGACAAACACGCAAAAAATGACAAACTATTTTTTTTTTAAACCCTATATTAAGGAAATATGGTCTTTAATTAAGATCTAAAGCGATACAATTTATTTATTTTTTTCCTCTGAGCAAGAGCAACGACCCCTATCCTGCTATTAAAAAACATAGAAACCCAGCAAATTAGCCTGGACACTTAAAAAAAAAAAAAACTATATATATATATATAAAATTAGCTATGGCATGGTGGCAGCATGCCCCGTAAAGTCCAGTTACTTGGGAGCCGAGGCAGGAGGATCACTTGAGCCGCAGGAAGCTGAGTTGCTAAGGCAGACGCCACGGGCCCTCTAGCCCCAACAACAGAGTGAGACTGTTTTCAAAAAAAAAAAAAAAAAAAAGGCAAAGGAAAAATACTCAAATATTTTAAATTCACTAAAATTATACTAAAAAATTACTTGAATCCTAAGAGCCTTTAGTACAATTCCATGTTTAATCGAGGCTTCAGGCCAAACTGGAAGACATTATATAACCTTTGTAAGTGAATTCGGCTTGAACTCCCAAAGTGTTACCCCCTCCTATATATGAAAATAATTTTTAAAACATGAATTGCGGTCCTTCAATAACCACAACCCCATTCAACTTCCACAGAATTATAATAATACCATAAAACATTAAGTGACATTTTAAAGTAACATGGTAGTTCCATCCATCCCCTGCCCAATGACACTTGAGTAGCCAAGTGGAGCAGGTAGGAATGTAAGGCTTCCCCTATAGGCAGAGACAAGACAGGATTCCAAGGTTTCTCCCAATAGGAGTATACTGCCAGCTTAATAGCAAGGAAATTCCAATATTCCAGGAAGGAGCATCCAGCTGGCAATATTCCATAAAATCTTAACAAAGTCACGCAAAAAAAAAAAAAAAAAAAAAGAACCACATTCTCCAACTTTTTTTTTTTTTTTTTTTTGAACAGAGTCTCGCTTGTTGCCCAGGCTAGAGGAGTCGCAAGTGCGTCAGCTAGCTCACCCCAGCAACCCCCAACCTCCTGGCCTCCAAGCAACTGCTGCTCAGCCCAAGAGGCTTGGACTACAGGCATCGGCACCCATGCCCGGCTAATATATAATACATTCAGTTGCCCAATTAATTTATTTCTATTATAGTAGGATGGGGTCCGCTCCTTGCTCAGGCTGGTTTTCGAACTCCTGACTCGAGCAATCCGCCCGCCTCAGCCGTCCAGAGTGCTAGGATTACAGGCGTGAGCCACCGCCGCCTGGCTACATTCTCCCACTTTTTTTTTGAGACAGCGTTCTGCTCTGTTGCTGGGCTAGAGTGCATGGCGTCAGCACTATGCTCACAGCAAAACCTCAAACTCCTGGAAAATTAAGCGATCCTACTGCCCCCAGCCCTCCTGAGTAGCTGGACTACAGCTGGTACCGAGCCATGCCAAGTTAGTTTTTCCTATGATGTATTTTTAGTTGGCCAATTAATTTCTTTCTATTTTTAGTGGAGACGGGGTCTTGCTCGTTCCTCAGGCTGGTTTTGAACTCCTGACCTTGAGTGATCCTCCCCCCACCTCTGGGCCTCCCGAAGTGCTAAGAATTATAGAGTGAAGCTACCACGCCGGCCATCCTCCCACATTTTTTGAAATAAGATCTTTCTTAGAAGAAAAAACACACACTAATATAAATACAGGCTTACCCTTACAAGGTTTACCGTCCCCCATTCTTTCTTATAAATTACATTCTGATTTTCTTGTCAGCCAACTTCAAGGAAATCCACGTGTTCAATATGCTTGCTCGCAGCTTGCACCATACCAAATGATTGTTTAATCCAAACATCTGAGCTGCAAACTGAGCCGATCCCTCCGGAGAAAGTATGGTTGAACAGCCCAGACCTGTTGGTTCAGAAAGAAAAAGACAAAATTGCTCTCTTCAATTAATAATGAAAACATAACCTTGCAAACCATCATATACTCAGAGTAATCCTGTGAGCATAGAAAATAAAAAGCTACAGCATTAGTCTTAATGTAAAGTACAATGTAAAGTACAATCTCAAACTCCTGGGGGCTCAAGTGATCCTCCTGCCTCAGCCTGAGTAGCTAGGACTTACAGGTGCATACCACCACACCCAGCTATTTTTAAAAGTTTTGTAGAGATGAAGTCTCACTACTTTACCCAGGCTGGCCTTGAACTTCTGATCTCAAGATATCCTCCCACCTCAGCCTCCCAAAGTGCTGGAATTACAAGCATGAACCACTGTGCCCAGCCACTGCTCCACTCTTAAACAGCTAAGGAAAGGGATTAATATGAAACACACTATAATCATCTCAGAAAAAAAAGAGTATAAAGATTAAACAAGAAAAGGATGCTATAAGGGACAAAAAGTCCAGAGAAGAAAAAAGAGCTCTTGGTAATATCCCGGAAAGTATAGCAACCAGAGGAAAAAAAATTACAATAGAAATTAATGAGGTTCAAATTTGAATAAATCCAAAAATCAGAGAAAAGAGAAAATGGTGGGGTAAGGAAATTAATTCAAGAAAATTCTCCAAGACTAAGGAACCAGAGTTCGAGATTAAAAGAGCCCACTGCAAGTCCATGATAAAACAGACTCACCAAGTCACTTTTTAAGAACGATGAGGCAGATAAAAGATTCTAAAAGTTTCATTGCTTCTTGGCCTTTTGGCTAAGAGCAAGTGTAATATCTGCTCTTAACCAGTTTAACATCTGATATATACTCTATCCACGGAGAAGATATTAAATGGATTTTTGGACATGGAGATGGAACAGATTACTCTGTCCACTCTATGTATCAGCCTGGTATTGCAATCCCCTTGGGGTAAATAAAAGTTGTTTAAAAAAAAAAATCCTAGAAGTTTCGAAAATGAAATCTGTAAAGGATGTGCGATCAGAATGGTGGAAAGGCAATGGAGTTTTCTCAATAACTCTGGATGCTTGAAGACAATGGAGTAATAATGCTGTCAAAATTCTGAGGAAAAATGATTTTCATCCTAGGATTCTCTTCCTAAACCATCAAATATGTGTGGGGCTTCAATAAAAACATTTTAGATAAAGTTAAGATCTCAAAGTTTACCTTTTATACTCTTCTCAGTAAGTTAACAAAGAGTGTGCTGCAGCAAAGAAAGAAGTAAACCAAGAAAGGGGAAGACATGGGACCTAGGACACAGGGGATCCACGACTATAGAAAGGAAAATGAATCTCAGAAATGATGGTAAGAGATCCTAAGACAACAGCAATGCAGTAAGCCTAGAGAGAAGCCAGTGCATACTGGACCAGGTCAAGGCTCAAGTACTTAATGTACTTAAACACACATCAAGAGCAGATACGCACAACTGTGAGAAAACTTTGGGGTTTTAGTAATAAGCAAATCAACTCCTACTGAAACAATATTGACTCTCATAACCTGCAGAAGATGAAATATTTTGGACTATGATGAACAAATGACAATATTGTTATTCTCTGAGATCCAGTTCTTTCAGCCAATAGAACTGTTATTTATTTTGATCCCCAATTTTTAAAAATAGAATTTCATTTTCCCTACAGAAGTAACAATCACATTTACTTAAAAAAACTCAATACCATCAATTCTTGGGGGGAAAAATCTGAATATTATCTTACTACAGATCTCACCCTCTGTTTACAGAAAATACAAGGGATACCAGAGCATTGTTTACCATCACCTGGAAATGTAATCAGCCAAATCCAAAATGTGGAAAATTCCACAGGAAAAATAAAAGGGCAAAAAGGAGGGTGGATTGTTACAGATAAAAAACAAAAAAAAAACAAAAAAAAAACACCAAAACTTGAGACATATCAACTAAATACAACATAAAGACTGCGGTAGATTCTGATTTGAACGAATCAACTGCAAAAACAACTTGGAAAACTTGAATACCAACTAGAAATTAGATGATTTTAAGAAATTAATACTGATTTTTCTTAGGTGTAAATATGTATCATGATTATGATTTAAAAATTAGAGTTATCATTTTGAGATAAATACTTAAAAAATATGTAAAGTGGAAAATACTATGTCTAAGATGGGCTTTAAAATATCCGGCAGGAGGGGACTATGGACGCAACAAGATGTTAATTGCTGAAGCTGGGTATTGGGTACATGAGATTGCATTATGCTATTCTCTCTACTGTTGAGCATGTTTAAAATGTTTGTAATAAATTTTTAAAAATTCAATGTCTCTTACCACTGGGTAGTCGAAGAGAAGACCACACATCCTGAGCTCCCCAGTCTGGTGTGAGGGGAGGACAGTTGATAACTGGATATGCAGTGTTCCCAGACACCACTGGTCCCAAACCATTGCTTCTGCCTGCCACTGCCACAAACACAGTAGGAATGCCATCCCCTAGGGAAATTACAAGTTTACACTTATGTTAAATATTCAAAAGAGATTTAAAGATAGGTTTTTTATTTTTTAAAAAAGGCCTATATGTCTTAATTCCGAGAGTAGTCTTCTCCAGAAAAAGCATATGTAAGGCTCTATTCTTGCACATACTTTCCAAATATAATGTTCACTCTGTCACTTACTATAAGCCAAGCAATCAAGTAGCCAGAACAGGTTTGGCTATCTTTGAGATCACTAGTGTAAAGGGGATTTCAGGGTGTTAGTGAGGGACTGGCTCATAGGCCTCTCCTAATATTCTTGACCTAAAGGAAGAATGACACCAACTGAACAGGCAACCTTCCTGCTGAGTGGTCCATCTACAAACAGTGCAGGGAGACCTAGTTAATAACTTTGGTTAATAGACTAGACTCTAGTAAATAGAGGTTAGATGTTTAAGAGCACTTCTTGAAATAAGAGTTGAAGGCAAGTTTAATGATACAGCATCCAAATTTTTAAAGACTCCTTGATCCCTGGCTAGTTTTTACATTTTTTGTAGAGACGAGGTCTTGCTATGTTGCCCAGGCCAGTCTCAAACTCCTGGCCTCATGCAATCCTCCTGCCTGGGTTTCCCAAGGATTATAGGCATGAGCCACTGTGGTTGGCCAAGACTCCTTAATATATTTTTTTAACATACCTCTTAAACATTTCTTCCTTTGGTAAATTTATAAATTATCCTTTGTTCCCTAAAAGCAGATATTTATAACCTAGAATCCAAAGTTTTACATATTTGCATTATTCTGGAGAAAGAGTTCTAGCTTTCATTAGCTTATCAAAGGGGTCTAAGACCCACCACCAACTCCCCCCCAAAATTAATAATTATGCTTCCATAACAATTATCTTCAGAGGGAAAACTCAATTAACATTTTTTCCAGTTGAGAAATATTTGGTTGTGAACCCAAGACTCCAATATTTTAGATCAATGCTATCCCATTATTTCTTTTATGTACTAATATTCTGAAACTCTTTAAATTTCATATCTTGACTGCCTCCCACAAAATGCTGGCCATTAAAGACACCCGAGAGGATCTGCTGTTTCAACCTCCTATAACTGGTGGTGGTGGGGGGCCAACTTTCTACTGGAACACGGTAGAAACAATGCTCCAGGGGCTTATTAGGTAAAGATGCCAGAAGTTCTCATAATTCTAGTCTTTTGGCAAAATCAGAACTACCTCAAGTGCTCCAGTTATTTGAAGTTTACCTTCATATTCAGCTTTAATCCTCAGAGTTTCATCTGGTCCTTTATGGGCAGATGTTACCCGAAGTTCACATGGAATACCAAAATTTCCACAGGCCTTCTTGATTTTTTCACAGTGACCGAAATCAGAAATTGAGCCCATCAATACGACAACTCTGCACTGACTTTCTGATTTCAAAAGCAACTGGAAAAGAAAAATGTGGATATGAAAAAGAATGTAAAGATAAAAATGGATAAGCACAAGAATGAGTATCATATAAAAGTAGTCACTTTACAGAGCTATAGTTGTGGTAAAATTACATTGGGGCAGAGTATTTTCTTAAAAGACCAAATGAAGACAAACAGCAAAAAATGACAAACTATTTTTTTTAAACCTATATAAGGAAATATGGTCTTCATAATTAAGATCTAAGGAATACAATTTATTTTATTTTTCTTCTCCTGAGCAAGAGCAAGACCCTACCTCTATTAAAAAACATAGAAAGAAATTAGCTGGACAACTTAAAAAAAAAAAAAATATATATATATAAAATTAGCTAGGCATGGTGGCACATGCCTGTAAGTCCCAGTTACTTGGGAGGCCGAGGCAGGAGGATCACTTGAAAAATGTCATGTAAAGTTGAGACCCCACTTAAAATAAAATGAAATTATTTTTTTTCGCTAATCTCTTTATTTTGTGAAATTCTTGGATTCTCAAATAATGTTCCTGAAGACTTAGAGTCCTGTATGACTTCTTATCAAAAATGAAGCCAGGAGGTTATGAGAACTGCATTTTAGAAAGATTTGATTGATTAAAATGTGTTCTGGCCTTCGTATCATGTCCAATGACTGTTACTAAGGAAAGTAAAAATCATAAGTGTGTTTAAATTGGTTTATAGGGAAAAGGCAACTTCTTTAAAAACTTTATGACCTAGAATAAATTACCTAGTTTGAATTTAAAGTAGCTATTAAAGTAGACACATTAAGAATAACTGGTTTGAACTAAAGGGTACTATAAGCAAAAAATTTGTTTGAGGAACTTATACTCAACGAGAAAAAGACTTTAGTTTTTAAAGTTTGAAACTTTAGATTTAAGTTAATTGTTTCTGCTGTACTTTATTCACAGATGATGCCAATAATGACCCACAGTGGTCTGAGGAACAGCTAATAGCTGCGAAATTTTGCTTTGCTGGACTTGTTATAGCCAAACTGAAGTTGACATCATGAGCCACGCTACACAGGCTATTTTTGAAATGCTGGAGAAATCGTGTTTGACCCAAAACTGTACCTGGTTGATATGAAGGTACGATAAAGAGATTTGAAAGTAAAGATTATAACTGACAAATATTGTATGTAGTTCTAAATTTTTTCTTTGGTGATATACTGTTTCTAGATTGAATTTGGTGTTGATGTAACCACCAAGAGAGATTGTTCTTGCTGATGTTATTGTATGATTCCTGAGACTGGTGCCATCGGAGATCGAAGCCAACAGAAAGACAAGCAGGTAAATGCTTCAAGTTTTTTATCCTTAACAGATCACAGACTTAGCTAGAGGGAAAGAGATGAGAGTAAAGAAAAGGCAGTTATTTCTTATTCCCCACATCATATGATCCGCAGGAACTGATTTGCTCATTGCATTTTAATTTAAAGATAAGCATTTCCTAATCCTTATAGATAAAATATACTTAACATTTAAAGCAGATTTTCTCAGTATTAATAGACTCACAACAACAACAGAGCAAGTTATAGTATTATGTTGTTGGCTAATTGAAACTGAGGATAAGTATCTTCATAGTTTACTAGAGTAAGGGTATCTGGGACTCTATCCAAGTTCTTTAGATTTAATCAGGCTCCACTTCCTCTTTCCTATAGAGAAAAACAAAATTAGGGCAAAGATCCTTTCTATACTTATAAGAATTCCATAGGGCAGTTAATTATCGTTTGTTAGTGTAGAAAGCACTTAACTTTAAATGAAAATAAAAGTATACTTCACACATACTGACTGAACTTTTCTAGTTTAATTCAGGAAATAGATTTATAGACTAAGATACATTTTCAGATTTATCCCTTGGCTATGCAAACTGTTCATATTCGAAACCAATTAGTTTTCAGATAACAAGAGATAACTTGTTTTCTAAACTTTCTGTCTTATTTTTCAGTCTTATCGGGACCTCCAAAGAAGTAACTCCTGAAGGGCTCCAAGATGTGAAGAAAAACTTTGAGGGTTGCAGAGAGAGTAGAGGTAAACCTTGTATACGGTAAGCCTGTATTATATTAATGTGTTT